AACGTTTGCGGTGCTGCAAATGCTTGCATTTGATGCGGTACTTGGATTGTTTTGCCACGAGTTCCCAGCATGCAATGCGCGAAAGTCACATGATCTGTCAATCTTTATTAGTGTGTGCTGAAATATGGGATTGCTGAACTTTTTCATATTGTAAATATCCAGTTATTAAACATTTTAACATGATAATGTTAATGTTGTAAAAACAGGTTGATTTTAGATGGATTGGTCCACACGTACAACAGACCCTCTGCTTCCTGTAAATTCTATGTAACTTTTAAAAGTTCGTATTAATATAACTTTCCTGCAAAATTCATCACAATTGCAAGGTTTTGCTTCTCCTTCATCCATCTCAGCAGCCTGGTACTGTCAACTCAGTGTTTAGGCTCCAGATAACTAAAGCATACTTTTTAGACTGCTGATGTTTTTTAAAAAACATTTCCTTCCAAAGGAAAATGGAACGAAAATGTCAAATGTACACGTCTGATCAACATTAACATCAGCGTCATGTTTTTAACATTGTTTGGCAGATGATGAAGAAGAGGAAGAACCCAAGTTCCGGATAGTCCTTGTTGGGAAAACTGGAGTTGGGAAGAGCGCAACAGGAAACACCATCTTGGGAACAAGAACTTTTATATCCACAACATCTCCTTCCACGGTAACGTTAGAGTGCCGAAAGGAAACGGGAGAATTTGGTGGTCACGCGCTGGCTGTCATTGACACTCCGGGTCTGTTCGACACCAGCAAAACTGAAAAGGAGGTGAAAAGAGAGATCGCTAGATCAATCTCATTTGTTGCTCCTGGTCCTCATGTGTTCCTGGTTGTGCTCCAGGCTGGCAGATTCACAAAAGAAGAACAAGAAACAGTGAAAATCCTTCAGAAGGTGTTTGGAGAAACAGCAGCACAGTACACCATGGCCTTGTTCACACATGGAGACAATCTGGAGGCCGATGACATGAACATAGAAACATTTATCCATAAAAGTAAAGCTCTCAATGACTTCCTCGATCAGTGTCAGAGAAGATATCATGTTTTTAACAACAGAAAGAAAGATCCCACTCAGGTCAGAGAGCTGTTGGAGAAGATCAACACAATGGTTCAGAGAAACGGAGGAAGCTGCTACACCAATGAAAAATTCCTGGAGGCAGAGAAAGCCATAAAAGAGGAGATGGACCGACTTCTGAGGGAAAATCCAGGCATGACACCCCAGGAAGCACGGAGACTGGCAGAGAAAGACAACTGGTTCATCCAGGCCGTTGTGGCTGCTGCTGGAGCAATTCCTGGTATTGGTCTGGGAGCTGGTGTTGGACTTGCTGTTGAAGTTGCTATTGGAGCAGGTGTTGGAGCTGTAGGAGGCCCAATTGGAGCTGCAGTGGGAGCTGTAGTGGGAGCTGTAGCTGGAGCTACAGTTGTGGCCGTGAAAAGCGGTGCATGTCCTATACAGTGAAATTCATTTAGCTGTGACTCATTAAAGTCAGCTTAACATGAAGATCAACAGTGAGGTTATTATCATATCGTGTTTTTACTGAATCACGTTTACTCAGATGTTTGTTTATCATGAATGTTGATGAAGTGATTATTGAGATGTTCCTGAACTCTTCAATCGAAAATAATCAGAAGGTCAGATTATTACTGTATATGCATGAATCAAACACATTAACCTCTTAAGCCCCAACGCCCCCTGATACGGGGGCAAAAAGCAGGAGATCAGGTAGGCGTGGGGCTTAAGAGGTTAATAATGAAAGCTGAGGAGTGGTATCCCTATTCAAATAATAACGCTACGGGTAAACGTTTAAGCTTTCAGATGATTAAAAACTCTGTTTTAGGTCTGTTTTCAATCAGAAGTAGGAGCACCGAATTATTGTTTCCATATAAAATAAAAACTGTGCCTCCATAAAATGTCTCAAAAGACTAAAGAAAATTGGTTTAACTGTTGTTTTGTTGGTGATTTTCACTTTGTATTGCTGTTGTATCCTTTTAATTTTTCACTTATTAGAAAATGTACTATATTTATTCATGAGTCAACACTGTATGCATAATAATAATTGTAATCCCATTTTCCTATGTACCACTTTAAATGTACAAAAAAATCAAAGGAAACTGATCAAATGGAGGAAATTAGATTCAAATACATTGCATCGTACTTTGCTTCATGGTTTCTCTGATTTTTTCCATTTTCTTTCATGTTACAGTTTAATATAGTATATATAGTATATCATGCAGTGTTTGTTATGTCATATTCTACCCATTAATCTTCTCCTGATTATCAGGGGCTGGGCTGAGCAGCATCTTAAGTGAATAAACTCAGATCTTCCTCTCCTCAGTCACCTCCTTCATCCCATGTGGGGAGGCACCGAGGTGTTCCCACGCCAGTCGAGACATATAATCTCCCCAGCATGTCCTTGGTCTGCCCCGGGACTTCCTGTTGGTAGAACATTCACAGAATACCTCATCCAGCCACCACAGAGGCATCTGAGTAAGAGGCCTGAACCACCTCACCCGGCTCCCTTCGATATGGAGTTGCACTTCCACTCTGAGTTTCTCCTAAATGATTAAACTCTTTGCCATATTTCTAAGTGTCAGCAACTCCCATGCACCCTTTGGAGGAAGTGTGCAGTCTCTCTCTTAACCACAGACCAATCCATCGGTTAATCTTCCACTCCCCCGTGAACAGACTTGGAGGTGCTGGTTCCCATTCCTGGTGGTTTAGACTCACCTGTGAACCAGTCCATTGTATGCTGAAGGCCACTACCTGATGAAGCCAACAGAACCATAACATTTGCAAAACACAATTCAATGGGTGGCTGTAGCTCAGGAGGTAGAGCAGGTCACCTACTGATCGGAAGGTCGGTGGTTCGATCCCTGGCTCCTCCAGTCTGCATGTCAAGTATCCTTGGGCAAGATACTAACCCCAACTTGCTCTCCGATGCATCCATCGGAGTATGAATGTGTATGAATGTCGTTAGAAAGCACTAAGTGTAGATAAAGTGCTTGTGAGAATGGGTATGATTGGGTGAGTGAGGCATGTTGTATAGAGCGCTTTGAGTACTCCGTGAGAGTAGAAAAGCGCTATATAAGAATCAGTCCATTTACCAATTATAGCGCCAAATCACAACATCGGTCACCTCAAGCTTCTTTATATTACACGGTATACCCCCTACAACAATAGAGAGAAACCCCGTGTGAGCAGCACTGGGCAACAGTGGGAAGGAAAAACCTTTTAACAGGAAGAAACCTCCAGCAGAACCAGGCTCAGGATTGGCCAGCAATCTCCACGATCAGTCGGTGGTGAGGGGAGGAAGACAGGACAAAAGACACTGAGAGCCAGAGATGAAAAATAAATAATGATTAAATGCAGAGTGATGGAGTATGCTATGGCTTCTGATGATGCTGCCTAAGGGAAGCATGTATAATGTAAACAGAATTGGTCCTAGCACTGAACCCTGTGGAACTCCATAACCTTAGTGTTTAAAGAGGACTCTCCATTTACGTGAACAAACTGGAGTCTATTAGATAGATATGATACAAACCACTGCAGTGCTGAAATCTGCACTGAACAATCACGGACATGAGTCCACTGTCAGAGGCCATAAGAAGATCATTTTGAGGGTACGTCACAACATACCCTTCGTAAATACTAATATATAGAGACCCCTACCAGCAATCATTCATTAATTTATTTCTGTGGCTTTTTGTTGTTGACATGATGTATAGGTGTGCACTTGACCAGCTGATATCAACATAACGGGGAACCTTTGACTATTGTTCACCTGTAGTTTGAATGCTGAACATTTGCCTGTTTAAATCCCTATACAGAGATGTGCTTCTGATTTTGTAATGCAGCTCTGCTTGTGTTGACCAATCGATCTGCACTCTTCAAACGTCAAAATGAGCATGTGATTTTTTTATAACACAGCAGTGGTGGGTGTTCCCACCTTCTGCTCTTTGTCACTTAATGCAATCTTTCCGTTTTTGTGTTTTTTGGGTCCATCTTCGCACTAACGATTGACCGCAAAATAAAGCTACCGGAAACGGTCAACTCTACATCAGGTCTTAATACAGGAGGTTAGCATTTTCTCGTGCACAGGGTCTATAGCTTCTGTGATGACAAGTAGAAGCTGGTGTAGACGTTGGTGAACCACAGGAAATAATCTACAACAAGTTGAATCATTTATGTGAAAACACTTATCATGTTTTTATTTTTTGGTTTCTTATGTTGCTCAAAACTGGACATTTTTCAGAATGATGCAACACCACATGAATGTCACTCTTCATCACACTTTTCAGGTCAGCCTTCAGCTGCTATCATGAGCCCTGGGTGTGAAGCACTAAATGATGCAAGACCTGTGGATCCCTAGGAAAACCAAACACGAGGGCTGGTTTCTGTGTGCACCTTTAAGGAAGCGATCCTTCCTCTGCCGTTTCCTTTATCTGTGTGCTGCCGTAATGCAGAGCAGCTACCTAGATCCTGCTCTCACAGAAGTCGATCATGTTGTTAATCTTATTACATCCTCAGTGCGTATGACGCAGGGTGCTGTGGCTTCTCTGAAAAAGAAAGCAAT